AAGGAAGGAAGGAAGGAAGGAAGGAAGGAAGGAAGGAAGGAAGGAAGGAAGGAAGGAAGGAAGGAAGGAAGGACAGCATTAAGGAGTGATGATGATAAGTGTGAACATGAGGATACTTACAGGTACTGATCAAGCACATTATGAGAAGGAACACTTTGAAAAGTGATCTCATTGGCAAGAAAGAAGACCTGATAAATAATAGCAGCAATCATTAAGTCTCCAGACTGATAATACTTGTGAACAATTGGAAGAGGATGACTGAGGTCACAGTTGCAAATAGGAGAAATGCACATCATGTTAGGAAAAAAGAATAAAACCAGTGTTCTGAATAGAAGCAACTCAGTATAAAATATGGTCATTGTAGACATCAAAGTGTAGCTCCAATGTTTCCATTCAACTGAGGAGCTGGGTTGGAATTAACCAGCCTCTCATGAAAGTGAAGATCATGAATTATCTCAGCTCAAGCATGCATTCCTGTTCTCCCTTCAGGCAGTTCTATATTTCTGAGCTTATATTAATGTAATATAATGTAATGTTTCAACCGAGGTCATTATTTTGTCAGAGTCTACTGGGATTCCCTGGAGACATGGAGAAGAAGGGACAATGATGATACTAATTCTATAATTACTTGGGAGATAATAGCTTACTTGTAATAGTACTTTCTTTGAAAAATGTCAAAAGGAAACATGTTTATTTTATCTCTGTAGAACAGCTTCACTGCTGTTAACATTTAAAACTTAGCCATAAAGCAGAAAATGGGAGGAGTATCATATGCACAAAAAAAGAAAACTCTGGCACATTTTTATTCCAAAGATGCTACCATGTTGGGCAGATCCATATCTATAGTCAGGTTCCAAACTTTCTTGATTCAAAGCACCGTTTAAAAAGAACAGAAGTTCATTTGCTGAGGTCATTTTGTCAATCCTCTGTTTAATGCAGGATGTGCTTTGAAGAGTGGCAGAACAACATATTGCTTCATGTCAAGGATGCTTTGAAAGAGGGAAGTAATGCTGAAGTCATGCTATGAGCCAATGAGTTAAGATGTACTTTTACTCTCCTTAAAGAGCAGATCTATATCCATCTTTGTCACTATTTTCTATGTTCTATGTTTTATCATCTTCCATCTTCCATCTTCTATCATAATTTAGCTAGCTCTCTAGGTCTCTATCTATCTACATATCCTGATAATTAGGAAAGGAAGGTGTGTTTAAAGGACCGTTCAGCCAAAAGGGTTGTATGTATGTTTTCTTTCTCAGTACTGTCTAACTTCCGGATTTGTCCCCCTTTATCAGAATCTTCATGCAGAGCAAGAGAGGCAAGTTACATTGTCTGTCATAGAGCAAGACTAAATTATGTACCTGTGTCCTCTTCCATCATGTCATAATTCAAATTGATCAAAGTTTGCAGCATTTGCAGAATGGTGTCATAATATACCCAATGGCCATTTTATATAGTAGGGACCTTGACTAGATTCCTTTTTTTAAATAATAGTTTTATTGGGACCTTGATTGGATTCCTAAATTGCTTTCCATCCAAGAATCTGTTTGTATGGGACTGAAGGACTATTGTGTCTTCCTCCAGATGGAGATATGAGAGATAGATGATTGATAGATAGAGAGATATATATAGAGAGAGACAGAGAGACAAACATGTAGATTTAGAGGTGGGTAGGGATAGAGATATAAAAATTCCCTGAACAACTGCATGTCCTTAGTAAGATGTTAATGTAATGTAATGTAATGTAATGTAGGCGTACTGGTATGAATAGGAACAGAAGTAGCAATAGATGTAGAGATTCACCAACTAATCTCATGTCCTTAATCAAAGTTCATATCCAATGCTTTCTGTATTAGGGGTCCCCTGTTAGCACATACGATCAGAGTATCTTTGATCAACATTCCATATAAGACTTTGGAGCTCAAGAATAACAGTGACATCAAAATTAAACAAGCTGACAAAGGTGGGGCAGTTGTCATCACGAATAAGGTGAATTATATAAAGGAAGATGAGAAGCAATTCTCCAAAATCGTCCTCTTCTAACTTCTCTCCTCAGTTCCCACAATCACCTAAGCTTTCATGTCTAATGTAGAACTAGAATTCATGGTTTCCTAGTTTCAGGCCCAGCACTTTACCCACTACACCTAGGTGGCTCTCACATTTTCAGATGTGAGGCAAGGGGTATTAGTGTGGATTTTCCTCTACATTAAAAAAATGGTTCTGGAGAATATTGGAAGGGTTTTTCTTTCTTTTTCTGGCAAGAGGTTATAAAGCTTATCAGTTGCAGGACACGAAACCTTTCATTTTGAGATTAGTGCACATTATAACATTAAAAACTAATTTTCACATGCATTGTCTTCTTGATTAGCTATCCTCTTCTACTTTGATTAGGACTCAGAATAATTATCTAACATTTCAAAGAAAAGATGAGGATCAGTTCTCTAGGTTCTGAAGTGAACTTGGAAGAGATTGTCAGAGCTACTGCCTTGTATGTCACCTTGATGTGCCAATATGAGGAAAGAATGCAGAACCCCAAAACTACAAGAAGCCAACATGATAAGAGTAACCAATTGGGCTCCATTCAAGGGGTCTGGTATAAAAAAAGCTTCATTTCTTTATTAGTTGCTCCTTCTTATTCAAATCAGGTCTCAGAATAATGATATGGCATTTGGGGGAAAAGATGCAGCCCAGTAATCCAGCTGCTGAAGCCAAAATGGAGAAGATCTCCACCGCCACCATGTACTTCCCTTTGGTGCTCAGATAGGTGGGAACAAAAGACACCCAAACACTGCAAAAGACCAACATACTGAAGGAGATAAACTTGGCTTCATTGAAGCTGTCAGGTAAATTCCTAGCTAGGAA